GGACGCGGGGAAAAGTTGGGTGACCTTGGGGGAGGGGCGGCCCGGGCGGGGACCCCCCGGGGGCCCGGCCGAGCTGGGGAGGACCCGAGCCTGCGGTCCCTCCGGTCCCTCCGGGCTCCGAATGATCTGGGGAAGACACTGGGCACCTCTGAGGCAAATCCATCCGTCAGTCCGTCGATAGAGCGGGGGCAGGGGGACGGGCTTGATGGCTGGGAGGGAGGCTGTCCTGGTGCTTTTGAAGAGGGCAGACTTCTGAGCAGCCTTTATTCTGTTTGGAGAGATGCAGTGAAGCGCCTGCCTCCCGCGGGCCAGCCTGGATGGCTTTGATGTGACTTTGTTGGGGCAGGGGTCTGGCTCTGGTTCCCACAGCACCCTGGGGTTGCGGAAGCCAGACACTCTTCCCTACAGAAAGAGGAAGGAACGTGGGAGAGCAACCCCTCCGTAGCCCTGCACGCCCAGCCACCCTGGGCCCTGCCTGCTGCCTGCTAAAGAGCTGGAAAGTTCTCGAAAGTTTCCCCTCACTCAGCTGCTCACTGGCCATCCCAGCTGCCCCAACTAGAGGACAGAGGGTGAAAACCGTTGGTAGAGATTGAGAGCGTGATACATTCCAGCACTGTGCATTTAATCTTCTCCTAACCCTTTGAGGTAGGGCCTGCTAGCCTGCTTAATAACTGGTGAGGAAACTGACACCCAGAAAGCATTGGTCCAGTGGTGAGAGGATGGGGATGGGAGTCTGGGAGGGAAGGGGTAGCTGGACCCTCCTGAGCCCTCTTCTGTCCCTTAAATTTGGTGTAATAAACTAGAATCTAGGCCGGGTGCAGGGACTCACATCTGTAATCCCAGCACTTTGGGAGGCCGAGGTGGGAGGATTGCTTGAGCCTGGGAGTTCAAGAGCACCTGGGCAACAGGGAGACCTCGTCTCTACAAAAAGTTAAAAAAATTAGCCAGGCGTGGTGGCAGACGCCTGTAGTCTCAGGAATTGGAGGCAGCAGTGAACCGTGATTGGCCACTGCACTCCAGCATGGGCGACAGAGTGAGGCCCCCCTGACTCAGAAAAAATAAGAAGAAGAACCGGAACCTTACCACAAAGTAGCGTGTGACTGGGAAAATCCAAGAAAATGACCAAAGCAGAACCAAAATAATGGCTAATAGTCCAAACTGCTTAGAGTGGGGAGATCATGCACCCCATTATCAGACTACAACCGAGGAAACCCATTTCATATATTAGGATATATCCAGAAAAGGCAATACCCCATGTGGAAGGTACCTGTCATAGAATCATCCACACTATCGCTTCTCCAATGATAGCAGGGACGTCTAGCTGGTGGGGTAACCCTAAAGGAAATTCCACAGGCTCCCTGGGGGTCACATACTGTCCAGAAGCCTCCCAGGATCTGAAAATGAGCTTGCTGTAGGCAACCCCATGGAGGGAGTTAGACATTCTCTGCTGGTCACCACTGATCCAGCACAAGCTTTGATACAAGCCAGTCTGCATTTATCAACACTGAATTCACACATCCACCCTGGGAAGTGGGTCTTCCCATTTTATGGATGAGATAATGGAGCTCAGAGACTTTTTTTTCTCTGTTGCCTAAGGTCACACAGTACACAGCCAGGAGGCTCATACTCTACACCTGGCCGCTGTGTCTAACTCATTCCCCACTGCTGTGTGGGCAAGTATATCACAAATGCTTTACGGGGCAGGGCCCAGTGCTAGGGACTGAGGACACAAACCACAGTCTGGGGAGGGTGACAGACACCAGACCCACAATCATGGATGTGTGCACTGAGTGCCCTGAGAGGGAGGGGCTGCTGCTTTATGAAGCAGAGTGGGTGGGACTTCCTGCTGATCCAGGAAAAGAAAATCTATGTGTCACCTGCAAGTGAGAGCCACGCGCAGGGTGGGATAACTAAACTCTGGCCCCAGGACCAAACAGTTTTGGGTTTGTATCCCAGCCTGCCATGCACTGCTGTATAATCATGAGCAAGTTGTTTCTCTCGAAGCTTCCATTTCCTCACCTGTAAACAGGGGATTGATGTATACACCATTTGGGATTAAAGATAGTCAAGGATTTGGGCCAGATGTGGTCGCTCACACCTGCAATCTCCACACTTTGGGAGACCGAGGCAGAAGGAGTGCTTAAGCCCAGGAGTTCAAGACCAGCCAGAGCAATGTAGCAAGACCCAATCTTTACAAAAAATCAAAAAAATTACCCAGGCATGGTGGCATGCACCTATAGTCCCAGCTATTTGGGAGACTGATCTCTTGAACCCAGGAGGTATAGGCTGTGCTGAGCCACGATCATGCCACTGCACTCCAGCCTGGGTGACAGAGTGAGACCCTGACTCACCAACAAAAATGCTAATCAAAATGCAAATCTCTGAATGCCACACAGCAGATACTGGGTGTTTGACTAGAGTTCTCCTTGACCTTGTGGACAGGGCAAGTCTCTGCTAAACGCTGGGACCATAGAGAAGTGAG